TACTCTCTACTCTCTACTCTCTACTCTCTACTCTCTACTCTCTACTCTCTACTCTCTACTCTCTACTCTCTACTCTCTACTCTCTACTCTCTACTCTCTACTCTCTACTCTCTACTCTCTACTCTCTACTCTCTACTCTCTACTCTCTACTCTCTACTCTCTACTCTCTACTCTCTACTCTCTACTCTCTACTCTACTCTCTACTCTCTACTCTCTACTCTCTACTCTCTACTCTCTACTCTCTACTCTCTACTCTCTACTCTCTATTATGCTTCACACATTATTTTACTGTCAGCTGTTTTCCCGCTAGTTATTTGGCTTTTAAAAGCTGCCTTCGCTAACCAGCTGTTGCCTGCTCTTTTAGCTGTGTTAATTGTGTTGTTGCTGCTCTATTAACTTGGTAAGATCATCTGGTTGGGCACACTCATGCACAGCCAGGCCGCCCCTGAAGCGAAAACTGAAACTTGTAGCCCCACACAGAAAGTGAAATGGGAAACCCGCCAAACGGCTGGGGCAAAACTAACGAAGCCCAAACATTTGCTGGTGTGCAGTCAAAAGGCAAACGGTTCCATTTAAAAGCCAAGTCAACTGACAACAGGCAAACCAAATCCAAACGAATCTGGGGTGAGGGCGAGGGGGTCAAAACAATGCACAGGAGGCATCGTAGCTAGGTATAGATGTGTAGGTGGCGTCTACTCACTTTGAATATGAATGTGTCCTTCGATGAAATTTCCTGCACTTCGAAGTAATCATCCCAATCCGCTTCGCTGCACACAACACATCTGTCCAGATACAAGGGCTCCCGTGTCAGCGTATAGCGTCCGCACTTCTCCTTTACCATCAGCAGCGAGGCCTCCCGAATGCCATTGTGCTTCGGGAAATTCAGTTTATCCGACATGGCCTTCTCTGCCCTATAATTGGTACTTGGCTGCAGAAAAAGAAGGAGAAAAATGGAAGTAGAAATAGAAAATTGTGTAAAACGAAACTAAACAAAATTACAAATAGAAAAAGCGTAGCGTGGAGCGAGCAGCATGAAGCGTGGAGCGTGGAGCGTGGAGCGTGGAGCGTGCAGCGTAGAGCTGCCTACAGATAACGCGAGCACACAAAGCTTGTCAGGCAGAGCAACAACTGCCGCAGGAAGCAGCAAGACAAGCAGCAGGACTCGCACTAGCATCAGCACCAAAACAACAGCCCAGAAACAAGCAGCAAAAACAAAACCAAAAAAGAAATTGAAAAAAAGAAATTGCCTTGAATTGAGCAATTGTCGGGTAAGGCTTTTGCAGAAATTTAGAGCAGGGCACAAAAACCAAACAAGTGACATACGCACTGCGTCGCCATCGATGTGCCACAAGCCGAACTCCACTCCCTACGCAGCGCCGCACCCTGTTGGCCTTTTGGGATACTCGGCTTGTGGGCCACTTGACGCCATTGGTTTTATATACCCTGCAAACGTTGTGCATAGGATATTTTGGCTTTACGCATGTCTTAGAATTTATGGCTGCGCGTTTGGCATGTGAATATCAAGAGATTATCGCAGCGGATTAGCTTACTGCATTGATCTTCATAATCTTAGAAGTCTTTAATATTAGTTCTACTTAGACAGAATCGCTATCAGACTCAATGATAGGGTATCTGCTGAGCAGGAACTATCTTAAGTAGAGCATATTTTGCTATTTTTTTATGGCTCGCCTACGAATGGGGAAACTCGTTTTGTTTTTAGGCATCAAAAGCAGATAGTTGCTTGGATAAGCACTTTTCATTAGGACAGGCCGGATGCGCTTCCGTTCCACTCGATGCGTCAACCGGGCATTCTCCTTGCTGCTCTTCGCTCTCCACTTCACGCTGGACCTGCTCTGCTCTGCTCTGCTCTGATTTGTTGAAATCCTTTATCGTGCGGCAAAACTGTTGCCATGACATCAGTTAGTTCGCACATGCTCTCAGGTCCGTCTTCCGCCCTGCAGTCCACTTGAAACCTAGTTTGGAAGGCGTGATCCTGTGCCGAGGCACAAAGAGAGAGGGAGAGAGGGCTATTAGGTGCAAGCGGCGCTCGCTAATTGCCCACACCTCATGTCAAACGCCCGAGCGTCGTTTGTCGCTTGTCAAACGTGACCGGGAACTGAAGTAACAGGTCCCGTTCGAGCAGCTCCTCCTAACTACTCCCTTTACCTTTATCTAGCATCTTCCCTCCAACCATACCTGCATCCCCATTCACACTCACGCCCACACCCACTTACCTTGCCATTGGTCACGAGCAGCGCATTCACTGGGGTCAGCTTGATGGTGCGCGCCTTCTTCCAGTTGCTGTCGGTGGGCTGCGTGTAGAGGAGCTTGCCCTCCATGGCGAAGCGGACCTCATCGTGATTCCACTCGAGTATGTCGATGGCCATTTTGCGCAGCTTGATGTTTATCATATCAATTTCGCAAGAGGCACGGCGATTGGGGCTCGAGGAGCTGATGCGACGCCAGAGCTTGGTGGGCACATCCTTGGCCTCCTGGTTGATGTGATTCAAATGCAATTCAATTTTCTCTTGCGCCTGTTTCAACAGCTCACGTCCATCCAGGTGTGCGGGCGTCACCTTGTACAAACGCGCCAACAGCAACGGATACTTGGTGACACGCTGCACGGGCACCTGTCGACGGCATAAAGGGAAGCAGCACAAGGGGCAAGAGGATTGGGAAACAGACGTTTAGAGGCTAGTCATGAATATAAAATACAATCGAGCAATCGCTTACCATCAGAAACGAGTTGAGATTCATGCGACGCAGCACGGCGTTCTCCATTTGCGAGACCTTCAAGAAGATGCGCAGCAGCTCCTTCTCCTTCTCGAGATTGGCCAGCAGTAGGCTGGCGCCTGCCTGCCGCACACAATAGCTCTCGAAGGCGTGCAGCATTTGGGTAAAGTCGAGAAAGATGCGTCCAATGTTAACCGTCAGCAGATCATCGTCACCCTGCTCCAGAGCAATGTCCAGGGCGTCTCGCATGCGCTCGGCCAGCGTCTGATTGTTCTCGAGCAAGTCTTCCGTGTTGAGGAAGATTGCAGAGAGCTGCTCTTGGGTGAGCAGGCCAGCCACCAGCATCGGCTGACAGAACTCCTCCAGTATGATTTGCAAGTCGCGGCCATATTTCTCCTCCGTCTCCACAATCTCGGTGATAATCTCCTTGCGCTCCACCCGCTTCTTGCCACACTTGCGGCACACGAGTGGGGCATAGAGTACGCCCGCCTCGCTCAGCTGGGTCTCCACAGCTCCGTCACAGTCCTCGCACAGATGCAAAGGACTCACAGCTGGCTGGTATTTGCTGCGCGAGGATTTGCTTGTCTCGGAGCCAACGCCCGAGTCCTGGCGCTCAACGTCGCTGCCGCTCTTGCCGCAGATGAAGTTGTGCGGCGGTGGCGACAAGGAGCTCATGTTGCTGTGGCTGTCGTCGCAGCTAACGCGCTTCTCCAGCTCGCTGAGCGTATCGGTGGCCTCCTCCTCGATGATTTTCGGATTGTTGCTGTAGTCGAAGCTCTCCTCACGCGCCAGCCCGCGCTCCTTGGCATCTACCAGGTAGGAGAGTATGTCGTATTTGGAGGCGCCCTCGAAAATGGAGCGTGCCGCCTTCTTATCCAGCTCTGCATCGTTTAAGGGAGGCGCAGTTAAAGGCAAAGGTGGCGGCACTTCGTTGATCTCCTCATAAATGGGATCGCCATGATGCTTGATGGATTCATAATGATGCTCGGCCTCTGTGTGGGTGCTGTGCTCGATCTCTGCTAGAGTGGCGTCCACTAGAAGTTGATAGAACTTGGCGCGCGTGGTTGCATCCACTTCGGATTCCGGCTCTGGCTCCTCCTCTGTGGCCACCTCCTCCAGCACGCCTGCGGCTGTCATCTCACTCGAGCAGCTCTGGTAGCAGTCGGACTCATTGGCCGCCGCCTCAAAGTCGAACAGCTCGTAGTTGTTGGCGGAGGCGAAGCTGGTGGCGGAACTGATGCTGCCCCGATTGGACAGACGATCCTCCTCTTTGGTCGTTGCCGTCGTCGCCGCCGTCGGCTGTCGCTCCTGGCGCACTCGTTGCAACGAGACGTTGATCAGCCGGTTCATGTCGTCGTGATCTTTGGTGCCGCTCATATCGATGCCTTCGCGCGTTCTCTGCAAACGCTCCAGCGAGTGCTCGATCAGCTCTGCCACAGTATCCGTCTCCAAGCCATCGGCCACCTGGCCGAGCATCGGATCCTGCAAGAGCTTGGCTATAAAGCCGCTGTTTGGCGCTGCCTCCTTGGTGGGCGGGGCAGCTGTTGGCGTCTCCTGCATTTTCTTGCTGCGCATGACATCCGCTGCAGGCAGCCGCAAGCCACAGACATGCGGCACAAGGTTCCGTTTGACAGCCTCCACAGGATTGCGTAGAATCTTAAGCAACTCGGTCTCGTGCGGTACCAGAGCAGCGCTTGATGGAGAAGAAGGCGGCGGTGGAGTTGGCGGCGTTGAACAAATAGCTGGCGGCGAGGGCGTATTAATGGGCGTGGTTGTGGTAGATGAATGCCTGCTGCCTGTTGTGGTCAGCTCCTTGTCATAGTCGAGCCTGATCAGGGTGCGACCGCGTCCACTCGAGCTGCTGCTGCTCGACGTCGAGCTGCTCGACGTGGATGAGATGCACGAAGCAGAACGGTGCAGGTTCACTTCGCTTGGGTTGCTGCTCCTAATCGGTATAATGGCAGCCAGATTCGGGTGCTGACTGCGCAGCGTGTTGAGCAGATTGTGCTGCTGTATGAGCTGCTCCTCGGCGCTGCTCACATTGATGCAAACACTGTTCGCTGTCTGGCTGTTGACCACCACGGAGGACTGGTAGAGCGGCTGGGCGGCATCGGCGCTGAGATTCATGGTGGAGTAGCAATCATCGCCGTTAATCAGTATCGATGTCTTCTTGGGCGCCACATCCGACTCGGTTGGGGAGTGGCAGCGCAACGTGACATTGTGCTCCAGCTGCAAGGGGTGTTCGTCCTGTTCGCTGTGCGAGATTTTCAGGCGATGCACCTCGCTGCTCTTGTTAAAGGGCGCCACCCGGACCACAGTTCTCTGCTGTGGCTGTTGCTGCCGAGACGGAGACGGAGACGGCAACGGAGCGGCAGCAGCAGCAGTTGACTTATTGATTTGCTGCGGCTGTGGCTGCCGCTCTAATCCGTTTGCGGTCGACGTCTTTGGCGAAGGCGGCGGCGGCGGCGGCTCAGTTGGTCGCCTTTGAAATAAATCTCTCGAGTCGTTGCGGTTGCTTTTTATGCGCAGCGCCATTGTGTCCTTAAAATTTAAAATGACACCAGACTGCGACGGGGCCTGGGCCGAGTTTTCTGCCTGCTCCTGGTCCTGGTCCTGGCCAATCTGTGGCCTCGACTTCGAGGTGGGCGGGGCAGACAAATGCCTTTCGCTGTGAGCGCGTCTGATGGGATTTCGCGATTGTGTCGTTTGTGCTGCACGCTTTTGACTTGCCCGCGGCCTGCTGCTGCTGCTGCTGCTGCTGGCCTCGTCTTTGCACTCCTGCTCCTGCTGCTGCTGCTGTTGCTGCTGCAGCCTCAGTTTACCCTGCCTCGACTCAGTCGCAGGCTCAGTCTCAGCCGCTGCCTCAGCGTCAGCCTTAGCCTGCTGGTCGTAGTCCTCGTCTTGGTCCTTGTCGTTGTTATTGTTGCTGTCGTTGTGCTCGTCATCATCGTCATAATCGCGATTTGCTGCTGTCGTCTTTTGGGCTGTCGTCGTTGTTGTGGTTTTGCCTGCCAAAGAAAAGAGTGGAGAGGCGCTGGTTAGTGGTGAGTGGCAAGTGGTGAATCGCGTGTCGCAGCTAGCAAAATGTTGCCTTTTGCAAAATAAACCGAAGACAGCAGAGAGGCAAAGGCTTTTTCTTAGCTTGATGAACGGCTAAAGGAAATGGAAAGACCCAGCGAACAGTTTTGTGTGCGTGGAATAAAGCTTAGCTCAGCCACAGATACTCTTTAGTGGGAATGGAAGGGACATCGAAGAATTCTGATTATACTAATTAAAATAAAATTAAGTGAGATCAGAATTATAAAGAAAACAAAGGAAAGTTTAAGGAATTTCATTTTAAAACTGTCATTTATCTTTTTTGGTATATTTATATTTTATTTTATTTTATATTTTATTTAGATCATAAATATCATTTCAAATCCATAAGAAGAGTGCTTGTCTTTCTTTGCTATTCGTTTTTCTCAGTCTTTCCCCCACTCGTTTCCTCGCAGTGTATTTTTATAAAAATAATTTAAATAAATAAATTATTTAACCATTTAATTTAAGAGTTAGACTAAATATCTCAGAATTAAATTAATTTCACTAAAATTTCTAGCTCAGTTTTCCTCCATTTAATCTCTTTTTCCACAGTGTCTGTATTTCGGCTAGGCACATTGACCACTTGGCTGCACTTCATGCATGCAGATTTATATGCCTTACGGCCAGCAGCTGCCAGTGGGCAAACCGAGCCACCAAAGCCCAGCCAATCACCCAGCGACACCAGCCCAAACACCCTTGTGTGCCACGTTGACAGCCACTTAAAGATGTGCTTGCCAGCGATAAGGTGTTTTGTTTTGGTTTTGGCCACGGCTTTGCTGCTCTCGCTGGCCGCCACCCAGTGGGTTAGCTATTCCCCATGCTCGCTGACAATATGTACATATCTTTATTTATGGTAAATTGGGTGATTTACGTTGTGGCCGATAAGCGTTTGCTTTTCAGCGGCTGCCGTTCGCTCCTTGCTCTGGCTGTCCTACGCTGGCATTTGAATTGCCAGTCCTTGAGACTGGGTGCGGGGTGTTGGGCGCACAAGTCAACGCTACTAAATGGCGTTTGGCATTATTTGGAGAGGGGTTGAGGCTGCTCTTGTTGGCTGGCTGGTTGGTCGGGTTAAGAGAGCGCGAGCGGCAGAACGAAATAGGATAAAAGAACGCGGCTGTCACCGCAGGCAGCGCCCAGAGGGCAGAGCGCGAGACGTAGCAAACAATTTGTGTCGGAATTAAGATAATAGATTACATTTAAATGTGTTTTGCTCTTTATTTTGGTATTTTTATTTGCTGGTTTTGCCGAGTCGCAACTGAAAACTGAAATGCGGCTGCGAAAAGGGTTCGTAAGCGCGTATCTTTGAAATTTAAACGGAACGGCGCAGCTAACGTCAGATTGACGTCAAGTCTGTGCGACGATAACCAGGCACTTGCAGGACATGCTCGCCCATTCACACCCACACACATACAGCGACACACTCGCTGATGTCCTTGAGCAGTAGCTGTGGCAGTAGCTAGCGTGGTCCTTATCATGCTCGCTCTCGTCCATTTTAATGAGTGTGAAAAGTGAGCTGGTTTTATGGCCGTCACATTGCGGTGCGGCATGGTGCGCTGCTTGAGCTTTGGCCATGTCCAAAGGTGGACATTTTATGTTAATGAGTATCATCAGCATGGAGATTTGAGCATTAATGATGTACATCTGTCAGATATGGTGCAGGCACTCTAACTCTCTTGACTAGCTGACTGAGTGGCTTTTGCCTATGGCAGTGGCTTCGGCTTCGGCTTTGACTTGAATCGAATTAATTACTTGCGGCAAGCACTTGAATTTCAATCGAACCTTTGTGCGCTAATCGCATTTCCAAAGTTAGTTTTCTATGCAAAATAGCGACAAATTACAACAACAAGGATATCAGCGACAGAGAGAGGGAGCGAACGAGAGAGATACAACTACAATTAGGAGCAACAAAAAGGAGGTTAGACAAAACAATGCAGACAATGCTAAACGAAGTGAATTCAACTCTTTCTCCATTTGCCACGTTTTCGTTTTGTTGGTTTTCATTCATTTCTTCTTCTTCTACTTTTTTAAGTGTACACTAAATGCCACCTGCTTGGCAGCTCGTTGCGAGCCACTTAATGAGATTTTGTTGAAAATTACGTTTGCTTATCTTGTTGTTGTTGTTGTTGTTGTTGTTGTAATCGCTTGTCTTTGAGTTAAAATATTTAATTAACACCTTTAGTATTGCCAACAGATATACGTACAAGAAGTGCCCAACTGCAAAGCATTCGTGTTAGCTAATAAAATGAATGACTGAATGCGCTAAGCGAGTGCGACGTATACGTGATATTTGCCAAGCTGACAAAGCCAAGCAACAACTCGGCTACAAATTAAAGTTGGTTTTGGAATTAAAAAAGTAAAAAGAGAAGTGATTAGGGAAGGCCAGATGAATATGAAGCAGTTAGTTAATATATATCAATTATTTTTATACGTATAAGAGAGAATTGTTTACAGTAGTCAAAACAAAACTTTCCATAGGTAAAACCTTGAGCTCTTTAGTCAACTTATCGAGTCATATATGTACGTATATTAATCTATTCTCAGAAACATCTATAAAAACTTGTTAGTTTTTCTAATTAACTCAGCTAATCTCATGATATATAGTTTTTGCCATACAAACTCTGTGGCCAATTTTAAAAATGTGTTAAATGACTGCAGTTGTCTGCAAGGCACACACACATAGATGTATGTATAGTTAGCCGTGTTGACCCGATTGATTGGATAACAAAAATATTTTTGTAAGGAAAATTGATTTGTCAACGAAATGAAGAGTTTCTGATAACAAGCTTATTTGCAGCTGAACCAAATGTTGTTGAAATTAAATGGAAACATTGTTGCCAGCTCTCGACTCGATGCGATTTATGTGGAAAATCATTTTCAGTTTGTTTTTCATTTTAATTAAATTAAATGCCAAAAAAGATTTTATAAAATTTTACAGCAGTTTTGCCAAAGCTAAAAATCAAACTAACTCTGTCTGTCCCTCTCCCTTTCCAGCTGTCACTCGTTATCTGATATATAAATATTGTTGAACAGTCTATTATTATTGTTATCATAAAATATATATATATATATTTATGAGTGTGTGTGTGCAGCAGTTGAAAGGATAAGCAGCATATCGAATAGGCATGGCCGTGGGCGTGGGTGTGGGCGTGGGCTTTGGTCCATTACCAATGTGGCTGTGTGCATTTGAGAAGAAAAAGTAATTAAAAGCGTTACTTGTCGGGATTAGTAAAACATTTTAATTTAGTTGTTGCACAAAAGCAAAATGGACAGCCAGCCATGTCTGTGAGAGGTGAGAGAGAGACAGAGAGAGACGGAGGGAGCGCGGGTTGATTGAGGGGATACAGCGAGTCAAGCTGAAATGGGTCAATAAATCCGAGCTTAATTTTATTGCTTTGCGCGCTCTTTTCACTATTTTCCACAGCGGAAAACGAAAACGAAAACGAAGAAATATAAATCGCAATGGTAAACAAATCAAAATAAATGAGTAACAAAAGCAACGGCAAGACGGGCTGAACTAAGTAAGCAGCTGCGCGCCCTTTTCTCTGCCACGCCCCATTCTACCTCATGGCATCCTAATGTTAGCTCCACACTCAACTTGCTGACAAGCTGACAAACTGGCTCGACTCTGAGCGTCTGGCAAACTGCCGAGCTGCGATTGGGTATTTGGGACTGCGATTTGGCGTTGAGACTGGAGACAGGAGACTAGAGACTGGGGCGCACTGCTAGCAGAGATAATATTGCTTAAGAGCGAGCTCGGGCTGCAAACATTGTGCACATTTCGGCTCATTTCAATAAGAAAATCGCAAGGCGAGGAAAAAATTTACTAGCCATAAAAGTCAGAACATGTCGGCAGTGGGAGTGGCAGGGAGGCGTGGCAAATGATAGTTGTTTCTCGTTGATACGAATTTCAAGGGATAAAGCATATAAACTCGCATTAGAAATGCACGAGTTGATTTGAGTTTCATTTTGTCAGTAAAATAAGCAAACAATGCCCATTGCAAGTGGCAGCAGCAGCAGCAGCAGCAACTGAGACAACAAAACAGACAGCAACAAAGTGCAGCAGAAGGTGGCAACAATGAAATGAGCAGTTGGACTAAAGTAGTCTGGAATACCCTGCTGAATACCCTATATCTCATATTCCAATATACCTTTAGCTAATGCTTTTAGGATTCCAGTCCAAAATATATTTGCCCAAGAATATAAAATATAAAAAATAAATTCAAAGACGAGAGAAATGAACACTCAGCGGAACCTAGCTGCATCGACTCGTTTCTTAATTCTGATCAAGTTTATATATATATATATTTAAGTAGTTTATGGGTTTTCCTTAAAGGGTATAAAATGACAACAACAACAACGACAACGACAACAACAACTGCTGCTGGCTCGACTGGTTTTGGCTGCTGTTGTCGTGGCACGTTTTGTTGGCCTGCACAACATTCATTTCCTGCTTCTTGTTGCTGGAAGACGCCAGATGCTGCTGACTTGGCCACTGGGTCGCGTTTTGTCTTGAGTGGGCCTTCCTCTGTTTCGGCTTCTTCTTTTAAATGCGCGTAAACTACTTACAGGGCGCATCCGACGACGCCAACGCCAGCGCCAACGCCGCCTATATTATATTTTCCCATTTTGGGAGTAGAATAAAAAAATAAATAAAAGGAGCAAAGGAAAGTGGGGAATGCAGCTGAAAAACATATTGCTAAAGCGCAAAACAGCGAGCAGAAGATGCGTTGAAAATCTTTTATCAGTGAAATTATTTGCCCAGGGACAACGGCAACGGGCAACGTGCAACGTGCAGCAGAATGAATGCGCCCGAAATGGTAAAAAGAAATAATACCCAGGAAAATGACTGCACGAACAAGAAGAGCATGAAGAAGAGGTAGAGACAAGAGCAGCAGAAGATGTAGGCAGGAGTCCAGCTAGATGCCAAGGG